CCCCGGCCCCCCCCTCCTGTCAGGCAGTTGTAGAGAGTCGTAAGGGCTCCCCTCAGCCTCCTCTTCTCCAGGCTGAAACCCCCAGCTCCCCCAGCCACTACCCTGATGGCCTTGGGCTCCAGACCCCTTGAATGCTAACAGGTGATAAAGGAACACCAACTTGCTGAATTTCTGTGTTTAATCACTCATTTTAAAAAAAAAAAAAAAAAAAAAAAAAAAAAAAAAATCAGCCAGGGAGAGAACCCACTAGCTCATCACTTGTGTTATGTATGGGCTGTTTGCCCTCACAGTGCCTGAGGTTTGGTTTTCGGTTGATTAAATGGGATTCTGCAGAATATAAACTTGGTCTGTGATTACTATAGAAACAGATATCCTTCTTAAATCTATAGATAAATTTATTCACCTAAAAATGGATACACAAAATTATGTATTAATTTGCTTGGGCATCACTTTCTTTTTTCCTTAACTGAGTAGCAAGAGGCTAACTTTAGTTTTCCAGAATCCTTAAGCCTGTGTTTTAAAAGGAAATAATGAATGAAACATGGAATAAAACTCAGGCAGGAATTCCCCCTTTTCCTTTTGAGCTTATAGCTTTTGGGTTTGGGTTCTTTCACAAGTTTTGGGTTATTTTTCCCCCTCCAAGTACCCAATTTCAGATACATAGTTGTGTCCATGAAGCATCCAGGTTAGAGCAGAATGGATGGGGCATGCCTCTTTCCTTCCAGCATTCAATTTATTCACTCAGGCTGATGCAAACAGCCTCAAAGCAGGGCTGCCAGCACCCAAGGAATGAGCATCCCTCTTGCACACTTTGCAGCCTCCACCACAGCTGGGCAGGGGACGAGTCGGCCTCCTGACCCAGATCCTTCCTTTAAGCACAGGGTGGCTGGAGCAGCTAATCCTCCCTAATCTCTTTTCTACAGGATTCTCTTCATCGCAGGAAGATCCCTTTAAAGGACACAAAGGCGAATCACAGTACCTCTCTGCTGGGTGTGAAATTATTGGGGGGCCATCATAGAATGTTTTGGGTTGGAAGGGACCCCTAGAGGTCATCTAGTCCAACCCCCCTGCAGTGAGCAGGGACACCGCTAACTAGATCAGGTTGCTCAGAGCCCCATCCAACCTGGCCTTGAATGTTTCCAGGGATGGGGCCTCCATCACCTCTCTGGGCAACCTGTTCTAGTGTTTTACCACCCTCATTGTAAAGAATTTCTTCCTTATATCCAGTCTAAGCCCACCCTGTTTTAGTTTAAAACCATCACCCCTTGTCCTGACACAGCTGTCCCTACTAAGAAGATTTTCCCCATCTTTCCTATAGGCTCCCTTTAGGTACTGAAAGGCCATAATTAGGTCTCCCCACAGCCTTCCTTTCTCCAGGCTGAACAACCCCAACTCTCTCAGCCTGTCCTCATAAGAGAGGTGCTCCAGCCCTCAGATCATTTTTGTGTCCCTCCTCTGGACCCGCTCCAACAGTTCCATGTCCTTCTTGTGCTGACAGCTCCAGAGCTGGATGCAGTACTCCAGGTGAGGTCTCACCAGAGCAGAGTAGAGGGGCAGAATCACCTCCCTTGACCTGCTGGCCACGCTTCTCCTGATGCAGCCCAGAGTACAGGTGCCTCGTTGCAGAAAAGACACCAAATGAACACCCAAAGCAGCAAACGATGGGAGTCAAGCCTGAGTCACTGAAAATTTGGGGCAAGTAGGTTCTTCAGCACCTTGCTTCCACGTTACCGTCTTTACCATCAGCTGGCACTGAGCTGGGCAACCTGACATGAGGTGGTATCGACTCCGAGCCATGGTGAGATTGCAATTAACACAGAAAATTTACATCGGCATTGGATCTAGCCATGCTACAGAAACTCTGCTCAAGGCTACACCCAACCAACTTACATGCGCTTCTCTCCAAACAGCTACATCAAATCAACACTCGCTTCTAATCAGTTCACATCCAGGAGTCACTGTTGTTCCTTAGCTTATAAAAAATTATCCCAAAGTATTTTCAAGTCCAAGCTTCAGCCCTTGATATCACAACATGTTACTGAGGCAGTTACGAACCTCCACCGTAATCTGCCAAAAAAGGTTATTTATGTGAGAACAGGACATACATTAACACAGTTATTCTTCTTATCTGATTCCCAACTCATGTCTCGTGATGAATTTGAAGAGCACATCTGCTTCTGATCATCACTCCACATTCATTTCATTTTCAATAGAAATCAGCCCCCGTGACTCTGGGTGCAGGCACACATGGTGGCCTGTGATATACAAGGTCACCTTTGGCAAGGTCCCTTTCTGTTAGAAGTCAACAGCCTTCCCCCAAACTCCAAGCCAAAGAGCTTCTTTGAATACATTTCTTTGAAATATTTTACAACAGAAACAAAATTTCATTCTTCATCCATTCCCCTTTCCAGATTCCACAGGTTTGGGAACCTTACAGCAGATGTAAAAGTAATTGCATTAATTTCTTGCGTTATAAAGAATTAGGAAACACCATGCAAGAAGCTGCTTAGAGGACAAACCCCAGATCTTGATGTCCAAAAGCAGCTCTTATGATATGGCATTCTCCATTAGGGGGAATTATTACAAAATTACTTCAAAAAATTACTACAAAATTATTTCATTGAAAGAAATATCATTTGCTTTAAAATAATTCTACCACTGAATTTATTAAAAACAAACAAAAAAACCAAACCAAAAAACCCCCTACCAAATATCAGTATTTTCTACAGGATTCTGGATAAAATAAATAAAGATGACAGATGGTTAGGGGGTTTTTTGTTCCTAATACCAGTATGATTTCATTGAGAAAGAGGTTCTACCAAAGGTTTGTTGGGAATTTTAAGGAGATCCAAGTTCTCGGACAAACTTCATTTAATCTGACAAATCACACTTTGCTTCTTCCTCACCTCCTATCTCTGCCCTACAGGAAAATGCGTTCCTCCAATTTTATTTCAGGGGAGATTATTGGGGCTCAGAGGGAAAGCCACATGATTTTTCCATTCCCATTTTTGGCAAGCAACATGTAGTTCTGGAAAAAAAAAGAGCTCAGGAATGTGCAACTGAGGTCCTGATAATACACGTGAAAAGGCACGGAAAGGATAACTGAATTATTTTTCATCTCTATCAAACTAAAAATAATGGTTTCATCTGTGGGTTGCCCATATGTCAAATGATTTGTCCTCCCATCCCGTGCTTGACATACTCTAACCTACAGGGAAAACACCAAGGCAGCTCCGAGTCACTGCGTGGTGGTATCAGACCACAGCCCTCTTCCTAAACCAGCTGTTCTCTGCCAAAACACACATATTTGAAAACTGTGGTGCGCAATCCACACAGAAAACCACAATGACCGAGCAAATAAAATGTGCAAGGAAAAAAGCAGCCCCTGGGTGTTTGAAGATTGTGCTCTCTTCTGTACCTCCATCCTGCATGACTTTTGTAAAATCCAGACAAAGTATATATCAAAATCATATATTACAAAATGACCTATTTGTTGCAAACCCAGATCTTAAATACACGACTCTGCTGCTCCTGTAATAAACCGCAGAGGCCTATAATGAATGAATTTGTCAAGGACCTTCGATCACATGCCTCTTCCATCCCAATTCATTTTTTCTAGGACTTACTCTAAATTTGTAATCTGCCAAGGGCTTCAAGTAAAAGCTCAAAAAGAACCTAGCTGAGAAATTTCTCTCCTTTCCCTAAAACATGAAATTTTCTTTCAAACTTGTGTTTTCTTAAAGCCTAGAACAGAGATACTCCCAGCACTGGCTTCTATTCCTGTAACATATCAAGAAGTGATATTTTTCCACACTAAAAAGCTATTTTAGGTCATTCTTCACAGTTACTTTTATATTTTACATTAATTTACATTTTTACAGTCATATTTTCCCACAGGCATCTGGATTATGTCTTTGGAGGAAAGAATTGAAAAAAATAACCTTCTTTTCCCCCAAAAGGAATTCAGATATTTTTAAAGTGGTTTTTAAGTGTTGTATGGGGTATATAAAGGATAATATAAACTGAATTGTTTATTACAGCTGTTTGTACATTTATGTTCCTTCGGGTTTGCTTTTTTGCATACACACATAGATATGCACATGGTATTGAGAAAAAAAAAAAATTAATCAAAAACCAGTCTGTGGCTCAAGTTTGTCGATCTGCTGTTGCGAAAGCCACAAACTTTGAAATCTTAAACTCTTGTCAGAGTTGTACCCAACCTTTCTGACTCACTCGGACTGAAATCTGGCCACCATGGCCAAGCCCGAGTCTTCCTGCCACCACAATTACCACCCAAGTCTCTGCCTTTCTTGGACCAACAGGCACCAGACAGCACTTTTGCGCTTAATCCTGTGCAAAGCTCAGCTTTGCATCTCTTCGAAAGCAGTCTCCCTGGTAGAAGAGACCATCACAAAACTCTTCTCTACAGCCCAAAAAAGGAAGGGGCCAGAGATGCTCCAGACCTGGGCTCCGGGCATGGAGGAGGTGGAGCTAGTAACCCCTTCGCCAGTTATTCATGCAAACAGGGGGAAGGAGAAAACCTTGCACAGCAGCTTATGTTTTTCTATAAGCAGCTTATGTTACTGCATAAAATACAGTTAATTTCTCCTATCTACAGCTTTTCTTCCTGTTTTCCAAATAATTAAAAGAGCAGCTTAAAAGCGTTTTTTTTTTGGCATTAAAAAATATTTGCACTATTCCACCAGAAAAGCAAAATATTCCTTTCCCAGGGCTGTGCTGATTTAGCAAAGCTTACAAATAACGCTGGGCTTCCAGCTATTACCATTTGAAAAAAAAAAAAGAAATTAATAAAAGGAAAACGCTATCATATCTTCACAAATAAATGTCACTACATTTATTATCTAAGCTAAATTTCCTTGATAATCAAGCTTTATAAACAAACCCATAGGACAGGGAGCCAAATGTACCTTTCCCAAATATTCCATCTACCATTAAAACATTTCTTCCTCTGTAATGCAATGTTTCAGGTAAGAAACAAACCTTCCTTGATTGTTTTTCTGATGAGAAACTATTAGAAATGCGCAGCCACTAATACACTCCAACAAGCCAGTCTTCAAGATGTAGGAGGCAGGAAAGAGTCGGAGCCAGACTGAAGATATGGGCAGTGACATTTTCACTCAGGTGAAACTGTTAGGAAAACCCACTCCCATATCTGCTAAATAAAACTATAGACACTTAACAAAGAAGTAATGGACCCAAAGGTCCCTAAGATTTCTTCTTTTCCTACTCACATGCAACAAAAAGGGTCTTCATCCAGCATTGTTCATTTTAGGAGGCAAAAATAAGTTGCATTTTTTTTACTTGCATGCTTTTTAAATTGTATGCTTTTTAAAAAATGACCCAATTTCCTTCTGCTTGGAAAGCACCCTCCTTTCAAAAGCAACATGACCACAGTAGCACCAGCCAGATACTCACAGTGCTGTACACAGCGGAGACGGTTGGAGTGAAGATCCGATCCTCGAGGGGCTGCTGAACAGGACCTCGGGGAATTCTGCAACACAGCAAGTTAAGGAAAGCAACGTAGAAGGGAGGGTCATGTTTTGGGTGATACACACAGCCAACGCATTGTCCATCAACGCAGGCAGACTCCTTCCACACTCAGGCAGACACACAAACATCTCTGAGGGACTCACATGCAACCAGGAAGCTACAAATCCTTCAAGGTTTTCCAAAAGAGGAGCAAAGTGTGGCTTCAAAAGGCAGATGTCACTGACAAATACAGCAAGAGAAACCAAAAGCAAACAAATCGCTGAACAATCTACAAAACCTTCATCCTGTCAAGAGAATCCCCCACCTTTTTTTTTTTTTTTTTTTTTTTTTTAAAGAGTAAGGGAAAAATCCCAAAACCCCACAAGCCCATCGCATTCAGCGAGACAAACCCTGCTGATCAGCAGGGCATTTTCAGACAAAGGCAGCGCCCGTTTTGCTAACCACGCAGGAATCGTGTTATAATTGTTTCCTTGTTTGCCTCTCTTTAACCAGTAACTCCTTTCCTCATCCAGCCACCAAAATTGCTTCTAAAAGGGGCTGTCAGACAGATTTTAAGTTTTGATGATCTGCTCAGGGTTATTTAAAGGCAAATTGCAGTAGTCTTCTTAAATTGGAAAGGTATTGTGGGAATCAGGGCAGGGGGGAAAAGGGAAAAAGACTTTATGCAACAAACAAATAAGCCAGAACCCATTTAACTTGTGAAATAAAACAAGGGGATGCAGGTATTTAAAAGAAAAAAAGCTTCCTGACTTAGCTAACGCCATGTGGCCTTAGGTCCAGCATACGTCTGCTCAACACCCAACACCCACTGTCATAAAAAAGCCACACTTAACTTGCTGAAAAACCTTCCACTAAATGCCATGTTCAGATTTCACCTTTTTGCTGTTTACACTTTATACATCGAACCCTCTTGGAAAATGAGAACCTGACTGATTAAGTTTCTCGCACACAAGCCAGCACCACAGACCCCATGCGTTAACATGACAGTGGATGCTTAAATAAAAAAAAAACCAAAAAACGCACAAATTAATGAAAACACCTCTTGGGTTTTGTTCAAATGAGAAAAAAACCACTTGTAAGTTAAATCTTCAAGCTTCCTCCCTTTGCATGACAACTTTGAGCTCCGAAAAAATGTTGCTGCCCACAGCTTTGCAGGGACCAACGTCGCAGTGGCAGGAGAGACCCTGCCACCGCTGAGAAAACTCTACAGCGATCCAAGCTCCACAATCCCACCCGTTCCCCTTCCTTAAAACACACAAGCTGTTAAGGTTGAAGTAAGGACTGCTCAGATGCAACCTGCTCTGCATCTGTTGACGGTCTGTAGAGCTCCCCAGCCGATCTCCTCCGAGCCCAGTGCTAAGGCAAAGCAGAAACAATTTCACAATATCGCACTATTTTGATACCGAACACATCACTAAAAATGTCCGCCCTCACCAAGCAGGCTGAGAAATTGTTCTAAAAACTTCCAATTTTGTTATATATTTTCTGTTTGAACACCAGACACAATAAAAACCCTGCATTATAGGATTACGTACAGAAAATACCGCCCGTGACCTTCACACGTAAGTAACGTCCCCGTTAAAGCCTGGCAGGTATAAAACTGGATGCCTACAACCAGCTCCGGATTGAGAGAACCGAGATGAGGATCTGGCACCGCTGGTTCCCAAGATGGTGCTCACTCAGCCTAGATATCTCTCTCTCTCTCTCTCTCTCTCTTTTTTTTTTTTTTTTTTCAAACAAGTGCAAGAATTTATTCTCAGGGTCTAAGGCTCATCTTCAATTTGCCAGCTTGCCAGCTCACGCAGAAGTGGTATCATTTGATAAAATAAAGAGGTTTTTAACAACAAAATTAGGTGTCAGATCCTGACTTCAGCAAAGCAACAGGAAGATTTGCCACAGACTTCAATGGAGCCAAGGTACCGCTCCTAACCTTCATCCCAAGGATCTTACATTCATTCCCCAGTTTCAGAAAACACTGACAGAAAACCAAAATTTGGGAGAGGAGGATTAGAAAAACCACTGCAAGGGAGAAGAAAGACTCAGAAATTTTCCACAGGCCACCGCCATAGCACCCTACCCTTGCACCCATAACCATCTTCCGATACAGAAGCATGGGGCGGAGGTACAGTTTTAAGCTGCCATCCTTTTGTCACAACTGAGATTTCCAATCTCAAGGCAGTTTTGACAATCAATTGAAACAAATCGCTGCTTCAAAAGGATTCGTTCGTGAGTTTGGAAAAACTGTTTCATCCTTGAGAAGGTTGGGATTTATTTTCTTATTTTAGAACTTATATAAGCCAGGAGAAAATAATCTTCTTTGAGCAGAGTAACCTCTCTTTTTGCACCCAGGAAGAGCTGCCTAAAGGAATGAGCAGTTTAGATCAATTTTCAGAGTTTGGGGTTGCTGTTTAAGATCACTTCTGGAAAGCAATGATTCCCATCAGATTAAAAAGAAACTTTTAAAGTCCTTTTTGCCAAAGGGCTTAACCTGGATGCGAGACTGACAGGAACAAAAATGCCTTAAATTCCAGTAAGTCTTAATGAGGTATAATGGTTGGAGAAAGCGATTCTTTCCAACATTAACTTCTGGCATCTGTAGACTGCAAAGAGCTGGGCTTCCCTGCAAGCCTCCTGGAGCTTCTTTCTGCCCCCCTGGTAGAAGCAACTACCCTCATTCCCCTTCCAGCTGCCAAAAGGTTCCATCCAGGCATAACAGTTGCTGTTATTTCAGGAGAAGTGAGCCAGGGTGACTGCAGAAGTTCATCAGCAGACTCTTGCTAACGAGGCTCTTTTTCCCAGAAGCGGGTTAAGAGCGACAGCACGGGATGGTTCACCATGGGACATGAATGGGTCATGGCAGGCAGGTGGGAAGAGAAACCTCATCCAGCAGCATTGTCTCATCCACGTCCACAGCAAACCATCCTCCGGGGCACTCATCTTCTTTCACTGCACGGCGATTTTGGTACCATCAAGAGCTGCACAACCCAAGATGCAGTGCAAAGTGCATGAACGCTGCCCTCCCGCTGCCCCCATCACGTGCAGTAAAGTTTAAGCATTAAAGCATAACCCAGCCTGGCTCTATTGCAGAGCTTAATTAACCACAGCGCAAAGAAAACAGGGATATGCTGAATAATTCAGGCAGCTCTTTCATGTTACTATTCTGGCATGCTTAGATCCAATTCAGGAGGGTCCTGTGCCCTCCCTCCTCCTCCTCTTCCTCCCCCTATATCCTTGCCACCCACATCACCCTCTTCAGCTGCACTGATTTAACTATTTGTGCAGCCATGCTCTGAAATGATCCAGGAGGATGGGTGGGTGGAAAAGCAATGCTAAACCCAAACCTCACATCGTTTTCTGAGATCCTTCCATTACTGCAGGGAGAAAAGACAACGCAGGCAACGAAGCAGAAGAGCAGGAGCAAGGAGAACCCCTTAAATCACATCTGCAATTGCCAGGTTAGTAAAGAGGAACTACAGTCTCTGCTTTTCATGCTTGTGTCGAGCTGAAAGACTTTTAAAGGTCTCCCTCCTCCATCAGCATCACGTCGAAAATCAGGATAAGGACGGCAGCCAGCAGGTAGCACCAACTCCGGATTCTCTTCATTGCTGTTTAGGGCTCATTAACTCATGAAACAAACATATATATTTTATATATATAGTATATA